TTAAGTAGGCTAATAGTTAATGGTTGAGACTAGCTGTATATAATGTGAATGTACCGACTTCGCGGTACTGCATTGTTTTAAATGTAAAAATAATACAAATATATTCCAAAAAACAAAAAAAGTTTCCAGTTCCTTGAATATTTTTCTAAATTATGGTACTTAATGGAGCAGAAGCACAAAATTATTAATTACATTATGTTAATTTTATTATTCATACATGAACTGTTGTATTTATTCATTTAAATGTAAATGAAATGAAGGTTAGTTTTTATCTGGCCACACCCTCTATGTTTTGAAGTATGCTCCCAGCCAAGGGTGATTCTTAGGCTCCAAACTCATCATAATGCATCCCAGATAGATGATATGGAGAAAGATCTCTGCTTGGCTTTCTAGCCAACTGATTATGAAATGCATAATAGTGTTTCAGCCTGTAGCTTGAACTATTAACCATTTTATATATAACTACGGTTTAGTCAGAATGCCTGATTTGCATGCTCTCCTTTACCTTGTGATGGTTTTCAGTCTTGCTGATTATTGACCACTAGAATTGATTTCTACTTTGGGTGATTCACTGAGCAAATGCTGAATATGAAGCAGCAGGTTGACTAAGGAAGAACAGGCATTTAATCCGGCTCCTCCTTTTGCAGGCATCATGTGAATCAGCAGTTAAACCAGAAATACTGGTTAAAAAAAAAGAGGTGGAGAATTCAGAAAGGCAAACAAATTTGAAAGACGGAGAGAAAGAGAGGAAATCTTGGAAAGCTGCTGATTGAAGACTCCTGGACTGGTCAGGAGTCTTTCCAGCAGGGAAAATGGAAGACACCGCCGTGGACATTGACACTCTTATTGATGAGATGGACTATATTCCTGGTCACTTTCATCTAGATATGAATTTAAATTTTGAAACTTCTGCACCAATCAGCTTCCAAGGGAGAGACTTGAAGTTGAAACGAGAAAGTCTACTCTATGAGTTGGAGTTTGAAACTGGCTCACAGCAATATGCCATTCAAAACCTTCTCGGGGTATTTTCCTTCTACCTGGAGGAAGTGGAGCAAGCCAAGGAGATTTTTTTGCATATCACTCAGGAACAGCCTGAGAACTTAAACGCTTGGGCCAACATGGCCTACATCTATGACAGGTTGAACCAGGAGCAAGAAGAGGCTGAGTGCACTGAGCAGCTCTCCCACTTTATGGGTTTGGATTCAGAAGACAAGCTGCAGGGAAATCACCAGGACAGAGCAGCCCGTTGCCTGGCTGAACAGGGCTATGCTTATGCCTTTGATATCAGGCTAACAAATGAAGAAGAGAAGATGGAGAAACTGACTGTAGGCCTCACTCTCTACAGCAAGGCTCTGGCTTATGGAAAGCAGGTAACTAAGTTATCCTGTATCTTTGTATCATTTGTATTTAGTGGGAGACTGGAGTTCTATCATATACAGGTAGTCCTTGACTTACATTTTGTGACTGTTCAAAGTTACAATGGCACCAGTGGTGGGTTTACCTCACATTTGCGCCCTCAAAACTTCTGTGCATGTGCAGAAGTCTCAGGTAGCTGGGCAGAGCCTCCCGCCACCGCCACTACCGGTTCGGCCGAACTGGGCCAAACCGGCAGCAACCCACCTCTGAACGGCACTGAAAAAAGTGACTTACAACCATTTTTCGTACTTACAATCTTTGCAGCATCCTCATGGTTTACGTGATTTACATTTGAATGCTTGACAATTGACTCATATTTATGACATCATGTGATCCCCCTTTGCAACCTTCTGACAAGTAGAGTCCATGGAGAAGCTGTGGTGATTCACTTAGCAGCTGTGGCAAGAAAGGTTGTAAAACAGGGCAAAACTCACTTAAAAAATGTCTCACTTTGTAACAGGAACTTTGGGCT